TTCCTCAAATCTTACCTCATGAAAATGGACACTTTTTTTTTTACAATAAAAGTGGAAGCACCCAATGAAATGAAATAACAGAGATATGAATGTAATACAACTATCAGATTTGTGTGAATCAGTATATATGTAACATGACAGATAAGTCTAGTTACATTGGCACTTGCAGTAAATATTTAGTGAACCCTGACCTATACTTCTGCTAAGTTTATTCGGCTTACTCACAGATCTTTGGATGTTTCATCCCTCTCAGAGGATGCTGAGACTAATTAAGTGGATATAATTAATCATTATGAATGATTTTGCAGAATAAACATTTTGACTTTATACATACAAGGATTTCTTCCTAAGGTGAAGTTACTCTAATCAGAGAGCAACAGTCACATGAGACAACCTCTGTGAAAAAAGCTACTTAATACAGATGACTAAATTGAAAATCTCATTAAATCTATTACAGCATTGGATGAAGAAGTACAACTGTGACAGAAGTTTAATAAGAAATTATTAATCCATTCATATCTATTCACTCTTGAATATTACTAAATTTGAGCATTAAAATAATTCAATCAATCAATTAATGGGGTTGAAACGAAATAATGATGCACTGCTGCCTCAAATGTTTGCATCTAGCCAAGAGGTATCTCATGATAAGCAGCCAGGCAAGTTCATACCACAAATTTTGAAGTTGTCCCACAGGCCTCCTCCACCAGGATAGACAGAATCCTCCTTAGGGAATTAGGATAGGTGTCCTTATATCAAGAGGTGGCAGTCCTTGAATATATGAGTAACAGGTCCTACCATGTGGCAAAAGATTTTAAGACGTTACTCCAAGGCCCTGGTTCTATGTTTTACTATCAGACGTTAGCATTAACAATGTCAAGGCTTTGAAAACATGTCCTATGGTACATCTGCACAGGTAGCATAAACTCCAAATACTCCTATTAAGAAGAGTTCATGACTCCTTCTGCAATGCCAAGCTGTCTGTTAACCTTCTGGTCTGACAGTTCAGAGTTATGAATTACACTACTGAAATATTTGAAAATCAGGTTCCTTAATGTCTTTGCTGCAAGCAGACCCCCAATTTCTGGACCTTATTCTTGGTCCAAGACACCTCTAAACTCAAGGGTTCTGCCTTACTGATAATACAGAGAGAGCTGCCACAAGGGTCATAATCTAAGCCAAGATAGCAACATAAACTGCAAAGTCAGTGAGTGACTTTAATTGTAGCCAGTGTTGTCCTGGACTAACTGTGGATGACAGCTCTATGTAGCATCCAGTCCCTGTTGATGTAGAAAAGTGCTGGTATGAGGAAGCCTCCTTCCCTCACTTCTGAATTCACAGAAGGAAGGTAGACATGCCCCCTCAACATTTTACAGGACTTTCTGTACCAGTATAAAGGATTGCTATTAGTTCAATAAGGTTTGTCAAGATTTCTGGGCATCCAGAATCTAAGATTGTTTTATAATGTACTGAGTTAATGCAGGCTGCAAGCACCGAATGACTAAATGCAAGGTAACGCTCTACAAGGACTACAAGTGTATGGATGCAGTTTATTACAGATTTGTCAGGAGTAAAACTAAAGTGCTTCATTCTCTAGTCCCTCAGTAGTTGGTCTCTAGGAAACACAAGGATGAGGGAGGGCTACATGTCTATTATGCTGAGCAGTGTAATGCCTCGATGATTCCTGCAGTTCCAGCAATCCCTTTTCTTCTTCCAGATAGGGATGGCCATACCCTTCAACAAAACTGAAGGAATGGTACCAGACTACCAAATGGCAGCAAGGACAGCATGTCATTCATATGCTATAGGTTGCCACCACACTTAAGCAGTTCAGCAGGGATGCTGTAAACATCCACTGCCTTTCTGTCTTTTTAGCTTGGCAATTTCCTTCCAAACAATGCTGGTCTGATGGTTCAGTTGCTTTGAATAATTAACCCAATGAGCTTGCACATCATTAGGACCTGGGACAATCTGGCTATCTGCAATGTGGACTGCAGTTATCAATGGGAAGGGCTTGGCATTCAGTTATCCCATCAGTCTCTGTAAGCCTCATAGACATAGAATAGCACCCTACACTTTTCTATTCACCTACTGTAGATAACAGTTAACACAAGGACTCAGTCAGTGGCTAGCATGAAAGAAAGGATAAAAAGTTAACTAGATACCATTAGAATACTGCTGAGAAATAATACTCCCAAAGTAATCTCATGTAATAATAAAGAATTATTATTTCCAACAGTTTCATGAAATGTCCAACTACTTATTTACAAGAGTTCCAAAATACTACTCTACACCAAAATGTTTGATTATATTTTCTGTAAATCTTTTCTTAACCCAGTGCCAGTGAGAACATGTAATGTCCGCTGTAGTTTTGTTTTGCGACTCACATATGCACATAAATGGAGTTAATTAGTAGGCCTATATGACCTCAACTGATTTCCCTCTTCCCTGAATTTTTGGGATATATTTTTTAAAGGCGACTAATATTGGTACTGTTATTAATATCACTGACATGATAATTATAATAATGTAATACTAATGGCAATGAAAAATATGAAATAATACTTCCAAAAATCAAGGAAAAGGGTAAACAGGTGACATAGGTAACACTACTAATTGTGGAACCAATTGATAAAACAAACCACAGTGGGATTGGAATATATGTACATGCCATTCCTGGTGCCAATGGGTTTATCATAAATATGTGCTCTTATTTTTCAGCCATTATTCGTGTACAAAAATATGGTGGATATCACTCTCTATGACAGGCATAGCTTCTCCATTTGTTATCCCATGGATGGCAAGAATACATGCCATGCCTGCTATAATAAGTTTATTTACCTTATTTACACATAGATGGCTCTAAGAGAGCTTAATCATCAGGGAGTCAGTTATTAGTTCTATCTATCACACCTTGACTTTTGGAAAGGCTCTTTTGTATTATTTCATTGCCTTAAATCTTACCATGGATTTAAAAATAATTTAACCCAATGCCAATGGAGAAAATGAATTAAAAATGGGGAAAATGCTATGCTCATTTTCTATATTTTTTTGTGAAATGTCTCGGCACATAGATGGCTCTGCTAGTGCTTAGCCACAAAGGAGTCAATTAATAGACCTTGTGACCTTACCTGATTTGAATTGGCAGGAAAAATGTATTTTTTACAGGTGATATGAATATATAAGGTATTATTTTTATTATAAACATTATAATTACTATAATGTTATAAACAGTAACAGCAAAATACTATAACGTAAAATATTTTCATAAATCAAAGAAAAGCATAAATGGGCGAGACAGACAGTACTTGTAATTGGCTCATTGGTGACTTACAAGTGTAGCCATCTATGTGTAAAAACATTCAAACAAGTAACTCATAGTGGGCATAGCACGTACATACACGTCATGCCCGTCGGCATTGGGTTAATAATCATAACATCAATAAAAATAATAACAGTATCGATATCAACTGAATTAAAAAGAAAAAACACATTTTCCCGCCAGTTCAAGGAATGGGGAAATCAGGATCGGTCACTAGGGCCTACTGTCAGACTCCTTGTTGGCTGAGCACATGTGGAGCCATCTGTATGAAACAAAATTCACAAAACACTACAGGGGACAGAACATAAATCCATGGTGGTTGGGTTAACCTAACATATATTGTGCTTATTCCAAAATAGGTCTTAACTTTTCCTTCCAAGGCTGAAAAACCGGAACTGCCGTTCTCAGACATGCAAGTCGTCCCAAAACAGAAAGAGAAAGAAAAGAAGGAAAGGACTGAAAGGAAAATAAAATACAAAATGGCTCCAAGTTCACCTTATCAAGAATTTTCAAACAAGACCTTGATATCAGATAATTTTTTCAGTAATAATCTGGATACTGTACATTATAAACAATATAGAGATAGCCTGAATTACAATTTATTAATACATATTGTAATCTCATAACCTTTACAGTCATAATGTGCTTGCTACAGAAGAAGAAAGAAAGACAAAAGAAGAGAGAAAAAGAGAGATACAAAGATACACAGCTAGAGACAAAGAAAAAGAAGAAGAATATGATGAAGTAAAAGGAAGAAGAAGTAGAATATGATCAAGACAAAGGAAGAAAAAGAAGTAAAAGGAAGACGAAGAGGAGGAAGAAGAAGAAGAAGAAGAAGAAGAAGAAGAAGAAGAAGAAATGGTGCATAATTTCTATCCTCTGTCCTGTAACTAAACTGTGTAAATATTATCAATAAAACTAATTAAGTAAATGTTTTGAAACATTTTGATGAAAGTTATGAGAATCAATAACTCCATTACATTTGGTAAGAGAAATGACTTTACACACACACATAAACAAAAAAATAAAATGGGATTTTTATCATACTCTTTCACCCATTCGTGCCGGGTAAAAAGGAACAAAAAATGGGGAAAATGCTGTGCTCATTTTTTATATTTTTTTATGAAATGTCTCTACACTAGATGGCTCTGCCTTACCTGATTTCACCTTTACTTGAATTGGTGGGAAAATGTATTTTTACTAGTGCTATGAATATCGATGATTATTTTTATTATAAACATTATAATTACTATAATGTTATAACCATTAGTAACGGCAAAATAAGATAACGTAAGATATTTTCGTAAATTAAAAAAAAGGGTAAACAGGCGAGACAGGCAGTACAAGTACAAGTGTAGCCATCTATGTGTGAAAACAATTAAACAAGTAAACTTAAAAATTTCTGAATGATAAACAATATTGCTTTCAATTTTCATCTTAAATGTTCTGAAGCAAATATTAAATTATTTCATACATATGTTCTCTTAGAGTGGGTATGCAATGCAGCTTTAAAGAGCAATGCACAAAATTTATTAAAATAAAATAACAGCTAAAATGCCTTAAAAAATGTATTCAAAAGAGAACCTCATACATTTTCCATTAAGGAAATGTAGAATTTTATATATAAGTTAATATCTTTAACTGCTTTGGTAAGAGTATCTGAAATAAAATTACCATCTTCTATATCATACAAAATTTATTATCCTTTGTAACATAAATAAAACAAAGATAAAATAAGCTAGATTACTGAATTATAAAAGACAAGCTAATATATGTAATGCAAAATATAGATTATACTTAGTTTTTTTTTCTTTTCTTTTCTGAAAAAATCCTTTACCATACAACAATGTTCTTTAGCCCTTTTTGGAAAAAAGAAAAAACTAATAAATAAACCAAACTTATAAACAATTAATATTGGAAATACATCACTTAACAAAACGGTATAATTTTTCCTCTATCTCATGCAAAAGTATTTCTTAAAGCTACTCTCTACTTGCACATCTGCATAATAAAATATCCCTATCAACAATAACAGCAATAACTAGCCTTACACCTCCTAGGAACCCCCCTCCCCCCCCTCCTCTCTCTGTTCCTCTACACTAACCAGGGACTAAGGCATTCCTTGATCCCAACGTCGAAGGCAGTGTGGTGCGAGATCCCGAGGGACTCGAGGCGCGACGAATCCATTTGGGCATCGTAGGGTCTGGGTGCCCCTGGAGCTGCGTTGGGGTCGGGGGTGATATGGTCGTGGGAGAGGGACAGCACCCGACCCATCGCCACTATCATGTCGTACTTCGTCAGTTGCTCCTTTCCGCTCCATTGGAATATTCCGTTGATTTCCTTGTCCTTGAAAAAGATGGATTCATATGAGGATTTGATGAATAATAGGTTGGCCATTTATCCAATTTTACCGAAATATACCAAAATATATTTATCTACCAATCTATCTTTTTTTTTTTTGGGTGTGTGTTTTGTGGAAGAATGACACTGGAATTAATAAAGTAAATTGAAATATATTATACTGTGATATTGGTGTAGTCTGCAAGAAATTAAAGATAAAAAGTTTACTACCAGACAGAGGGGAGAGGGTAAAAAATTAAAAAGTTGCATTTATTTATTATGGGGAGACAGATGGCCATCTTTCTAAAATTCATTAAAAAATAAGCATTTTGAATTAAGAGCTCAAAGTCAAGGAATTAATACACCTTTTCAATATGTTTACTTAACATTAGCATGAAAGCTCAATCTTAAGGCATCCTGGCTAGAGATTTTAGCTGTGAATTGTTAAATGGTCTACAAACATACATTCAGCACTACATTCACAATTTGCCGTTCATAAAATAATATCACAGTGGTTTGATGTTACAAAAATAGGCCTACCACAATATCATATCACTGACACCATTTAATCCAAGGGAACTTCCATATTAGATATTATGTAATTTTGTTTCCCTTTAACAAATACATTCCCCTAAAGTCCAAGTAAATAGTATAGAAATCATTTTTCTCTAATCTTTTAAATGCAAAAAAATCATGCTTCGTGATTTCAGTTTCAAGGCAATACACTTCCAATACTATTGGTTCATCATCATCACTGGGGAGCTAATGCCATTAGAGGCATATAGCTGCATCCACCCTTCATTCCCACCTAGACGGTTTCCTCATGGCGAGCCGCCAGGTAGGGGCCCGGCCCGTCTCTAGCTCTTCATGACAGGTTTGATCAATATGCCCAAGCCAAGTTGGAGATTGTGGATTGTGCAATTAACAGGTCCTGCATTAGTCTCACGATGCAACCTTTTGTTGGATGCATGGTCCCGCCAACTGTACCCCATAATCCAGTGCAAGGACTTGTTACAAAAGGCATCAAGATGAGATTCCAAGGCACAAGATAGCATCCAGGTTTCACTACCATACAGTAAAACTGGCAGTGTCAGGGCCTTGAAGACACGTAGCTTGGTCCTCCTGCACAGGTACCAGCATCTCCAAATACTCCTGTTGAGATTTCATGAGCCCTGCTGCCTGGCCAATCCATCTACTGACTTCTGGTCTGACAGCCCGGAGTTGTGTACTGCACTACCAAGGTATATAAAGCTCTCTGTGAACTCGATGTTCTCACCACAAACATGTACCAACTGAACAGGATCTCCTAGTAAGGTCCCAAAGTCTTAGATCTTGGTCTTGGTCCAGGAGATCTCCAACCCCAGGGCTTTGCTTCATTGCTTAATGGTTCAAGAGCCACCACTAAGATTTCCAGAGATTCAAATAGAATAGCAACATCATCAGCAAAGTCAAGATCTGTAACCTTGATATTTCCCAGAGTTGCTCCACAGTGACTTTGGACAGTAGCTCTATCCAGTCTATGTAGCTTGTGGACTCAGTGTATGTGGTAAGCGCCCCCAAAATCATCAACTTCAGAAGACAAACAAATATTTACAAATAACAAAATAATTTTCATGTTAACTGGATGACATTGCTCTCCTTCCCTGCCTCATTGCTGGGGTTCCTAACAACATTTTTTTTTTTTTATCAAAAAGATTTTATGAATTTTCTAGGCTTCTACAAACAATATACTTGGGGTTTGAAAGAGCACTGCTTCCTTTCCTTGAATCTACATCAGTTTTTGGATAAGATTTAGTTTTCTGTCCAATGGTGGTGGCAGGCAAGGGGGACAGAGGAGG